GGCAATCACTGATCTTTATATTGTCTCCACAGTTTTGCCTTTTCCAGAATGTCATACAGTCGGAATCAAAGTATATAGCCTTTCCAGTTTGGCTCTGTTTACTTAATAATATGCATTTAAGGTTTCTTCTTAGATAAGAAGTCTTTTCATGACTTGATAGCTATTCCTCTTTGGCACTGAATAATATTCCATTGTTTGGATGTACCACAATATATTCATTTCCTTACTCAAGGACATCGTGGTTACTTCCATATTTGGGGAATTATTAATAAAGATGCTATAAACGACAATGTGCCGGTTTCTGTGTGAACTTAAGTGTTTAACTCCCTTGAATAAATACCAAGGGGCATGATTACTGGATTATGGCAAGAGTATTTTTAGTTTTGTAAGAAATATCAAACTGCCTTCCAAAGTGACTATCCCATTTTACATTTACATTCCCACCAGCAGTGAATCAGAATTCCTGTTGCTCTACATCCCTACCAGTTTTTGTTGTTGTCAGTATTTTAGATTTTGCCAGTTCTAAAGGGTGTATGGTGGTTTCTCATTTATGTTTCAATTTGCATTTCCCTGATTACATATGTTACAGAACACCTTATCATATGCTTACTTGCTATCTGTATATCTACTTTGAAAGGTGTGCATTAAAGTATTTGGCCTATTTTTTAATTAGGATTTTTTAAATTGTTGAGTTATAGGGGTTCTTTGTATATTTTGGATAACAGTCCTTTATCTGATGTGTCTTTTGCAAATATTTTCTCACAATCTGTGCCTTATCTTCTCATTCTCTTGACAATGTTCACAGAGCAGAAGTTTTTAATCTCAGTGAAGTCTGGCATATCAATTATTTCTCTCATTAATCATGTCTTTGGTGTTGTATCTAAAAAGTCATAGCCATACCCAAGGTCTTCTAGGTTTTCTCCTGTGTTAACTTCCAGGACTTTTGTAGTCTGCATTTGATATTTAGTTCTGTGATATATTTTGAGGTAATTTTGTTAAGGGTGTAAAGTCTGTGTTTAGATTCTTTTTTCTTTCACGTGTGGATGTCCAGCTGTTTTGCACCATTTGTTGAAAAGACTATCTTTGCTCCATTCTACTGCCTTTGCTCCTTTGCAAAGATCCGTTACTATATATGTGTAGATTATTTCTGGGCTCTTTATTCTATTCCACTGATTTGTCTGTTCTTTCACCAATACCACACTGTCTTGATTACTGTAACTTTATTGTAAGTCTTGAAGTAGGGCAGTGTCAGTCTTCCAACTTTGTTCTTCTCCTTCAGTATCATGTTTGTTATTCTGGGTCTTTTGCCTTCTATGTCAACTTTAGAATCAGTCTGTCAATGTCTACAAAAGTAACTTGCTGGAATTTTGATTGGGATTGCACTGAATCTACATATAAAGTTGGGAAGGACTGACATTTTGGCAGCATTGAATCTTCCTATCCATGAATATGGAATACCACTGCATTTATTTACTTCTCCTTTAATTGCGTTCATCTGAGTTTTGTCATTTTTCTCATACAGATCTTGTATATACATTTTGTTAGATTTATACCTAAGCATTTCTTTGTTTGGTGTCAATGTAAAGGGTATATTTTTAATTTCAAACTCCAGTTGTTCATAGCTGATTTTTAGAAAAGCAACTGAGTTTTGCCTATTAACCTAGTATCCTGCAACTCTGATGTAAATGCCCATTAGTTCTAGGAGTATTTTTGTCAATTGTTTTGGATTTTCTACATAGATGGTCATGTCATCTATGAACAAAGACAATTTTATTTCTCCCTTCCCAATCTGTATACTTTTTATTTCTTTTTCTTGTCTTATTGTATTAGCTATAACTTCCAGTATGATATGGAAAAGGAATGATGAGAGAGGACATTCTTGCCTCATGCCTGATCTTGGTGGCAAAACTGAGTTTCTCATAATTATGATGCTAGCAGTGTCTTTAACTTATCAGAGACTACCTATAAATAATATTGTACAACTTCATAAATAGTATTGGAACTATACAACACTACACTTTCATTCCCCCCTTTCTGTCTTATGTGCTATTGTTGTCATATATTTTAATTCTACACATATTACATGCCCCCAAATACACTGTTAGTATATTTGCTTTAAGCAGTCAACTATGTTTTAAGAAGATTAATGAATAAGATAAATGCCTTTTATATTTATATGCATGTTTGCCATTTTGGCAAACTTTGTGTAGATCCAAATTTCCATATAGTATCATTGGTCACCTGCCTGAAGAACTTACTTTAACATCCTTGTAGTCAGTTCTACTAACATGAATTTTTTCAGCTTTCCTGTTTGAAAAACTCTTCATTTCATTTTAAGGCACTGTCAAGTGTTCCCTTAAGGGAAGAAATATCCCCTTTTGAGAAACATTACACTAGAGCAGTAACTAAGAAAATAATTCAAAAAACATGTTGGGAAAATCAACAAAAGAAACGAAGTGGAACATTAGAAAATACCTACCTAATAAAAAAGAAAGCAGTAAAGCAGAAACAAAGGAACAAAAAAGACATGAGATTTATAGAAAAAAATGGCTAAGTGACAGACTAAGTCTAACCATATTAATAGTTATATTAAATGTAAATTGATTAAACAGTGTAATCAAAGTCTCATTTGGCCAGACTGGATTAAAAAATTAGGTGTAGCTATATGCTGTCTAAAAGGGAAACACCTTAGATTAAAGATACAAATAAAATGAAAATTAAAAGGTAGAGAAAGATGTATCTGCAAACAGTAACAATATGAAGACTAAAATGAAGTACTGATACATGCTACCAAAATGGATGAACCTCAAAAACATATACTAATGGAAATCACCCAATCAGAATAGCAAAAGGAAAAACAAATTTTTAAAAATGAGTATAGTTGAAGGGACCTCTGGGACAACATCAAGCATCCTAACATTTGCACTATACGGGTATACTATACTCCCAGAAGGAGAAGAGAGAAAGAGGTAGAAAATATTTTTGATTAGCATATGGATGAAAACTTCCTGAACCTGAAAAAGGAAACAGATATCCAGGTACAGGAAGCACATAGAGTCCCAAACAAGATGAACCCAAACAGACTTACACCAATTACACTTATTAGTATCATAACGAAAATGGCAAAAGTTAAAGGAAGAATTTTAAAGGCAGCAGGAAGAGAAAAAAGGCAGCAAGAGGGGAAAAAAAGTCACATACAAAGGAATCCCTAGAAGGCTATCACCTGGTTTTTCAGGAGAAACTTTGCATACTGCAGAAAGCAACCTATAAAAATAACCATGACATTTTTCACATAATTAGAACACATAATCCTATAATTTGTATGGAACTACAAAAGACCCTGAGCAACAAAAAGCAACTTTGATTTAAAAAAAAAAAAAAAAAAGAACAAAGCTGGAGGTTCCATGTTTCCTGACTTTGGAATGTACTACAAAGCTGCAGTAATCAAAACACTATGGGACTAGCACAGAACAGACACAAAGATCAGCGGAACGGAACAGAGAGCCCAGAAATAAACTAATGCACTTATGGTCAACTAATCTGTAACAGAGGAGGCAAGAATATAGAGTGGAGGAAAAAACAGTCTGTTCAATAAGTGGTGGTAGGAAAACTGAACAGCTACATGTAAATGAGTGAAATTAGAACATTTTATCACACCATATACAAAAGTAAACTCAAAATATATTAAAGACCTATATGTAGGAATGGAAACTGTAAATCTCCTCAAAGCAAACACAGACAGTACACTCTTTGACATTAGTCTTGGCAGTAATTTTTTTTAATCTGGCTCCTCAGGCAAGGAAGACAAAAGCAAAAATAAATAAACAGGACCTAATTAAACTTAAAAGCTTTTTCACAGCAAAGGATACCAGCAATAAAATGAAAAGACAACCTATTAAATGGAAGATTTTTGCAAATGATATGTCTGATAAGGAGTTATTTTCCAAAATATATAAAGAGCTTATCCAAAATATATAAAGAGCTTATTGAGCTCAATATCAAAAACACCAATCCTTTTTAAAAATGGGCAGAAGATTTGAATCTGTCTTGCTTGAAATTATTGGGTCTTGGGTCTTAATATTTTTTATCTCCACCATAATGGATGACAGCTGCAGCTTCTTAGCCACTAAAGTTTCACTCCCAGTGAATGCATAATTTTAGGTGTTTTCTATTGAATACCATGGTGTATATATTCTTGTCAGAGAATGCAAATAGAAGATTTGCTGTCTTTTGCACCTTCTCATATGTTAATCAAAAAACTCCCACTGGGGGTCAAGTGAAGAACATAATTCAGTTCTTAGTACCAATTTGGGTACCAGTGTGAACTCTTTGTTCCCAGCCAACATAATTTGAATTTCTTTCACACTAATAAGGAAAAAGATGTTTTGCAAAATACCAGACTCAAGAAAGGGTCTGTGAAAATGGACTCTGGATTCAGATCTACTGGTTTGAAATGCCAGCTCCCCTTACCTGTAGGCAACATCTCTGGTTCTCACTTATTTATTTGTAAAATAGGAACAATAGTACTTAGTTCATACAAAGTTGTTGAGATAATTAAAGAAGATTTTATATATATACACATAAATATATAAACGATACCTTGGAAAATTATCTGACCCATTGCTCTTCCTCTGAAGAGGGCTGACTGTTAATCATTAATCATTCTATGAATAAAGCTTGCCTTCTTAAGCATGTATGAAGATGCTGACACATAGATATCTTTCAATAGCTGGCGTGATGGTCAATCAAGACATAATTCCTTATTTCTAAGAACACTGCTTGCAAGCTGAGTTCAGACCAGTATATCAGTAAAGGGAACTGATCCTCATTTTGTAATGCATGTAGTAAAACACTTCTTATAAACTGAAAACACTTAAACTTAAAAACACTTCTAATAAAGATGTTTCTAAGAACGCTAAAAAAAAAATCTTAATTTCCAGTTATCATGTATCTTGTTACAGAATAGTTTAGCTTCTCTGTGGTCCTGTTTCTCTGGTCCACTATGTGAAAAAGTTAACATATCTTCTTAACATTCTTCCCAGAGCGGCCCTCACCTCTTTGTTCTGCAGGCTGTAGATAAGAGGATTCAGCATGGGGGTGACCACACTGTACTGCAAGGAGAAGACCATCTCCAGGGGGGATCCCGAGGTTGGCAAGAGATAGCTGAGGAAGCCTGAGCCATAGAACAAGATCACAGTAGTGAGGTGGGAGGAGCAGGTAGAGAAGGCCTTGCTTCTGCCTGAGGTGGAGCTGATGCTCAGGATGGTGGAGACAATGCAGGCATAGGAGGAAACAATCATAATGAAGGTTCCAAAGAAATGCAAGACAGAAGAGCAGAGCAGGAGTGTGAAATTGGGGGAGGTATCAGAGCAAGACAGAGGGAAGAGAGAAGACAGCTCACAGCTGAAGTGGGGAATAGTCTGGTCCTCACAATAGTCTAAACTGGCAGCCAGGAGGATATTGATGAGAGCATCAACAAAGGCCAGGCCCCAGGAGCCCCACACCAGCCCAGCACAGAGCTGCTTGTTCATCAGCTGGCCATAGAGCAGAGGGCAGCTGATGGCTTCGTAGCGGTCATAGGCCATCACAGCCAGCAGGCAGGCCTCAGTGCCCCCGGTGGCAAACACAAAGAAGGCCTGAGCCAGGCAGCTCTCTACAAAGATGGTTTTACTTTCAGAAAGCAGATTCTCCAGCATCTTGGGGACTGTGACAGATGAGTGGCAGAGGTCCAGGAAAGACAGTTGTCCCCAAAAAAAGCATATGGGTGTGTGCAGGTGAAAATCAGCCCTGATAACTAGCAGCATCACCAGGTTCCCCATCAGAGTCAGGAGGTGAATCACCAGAAACAACATGAAGAGCACAATCTGGGTCTGAGGGTCAGCAGAAAATCCAAGGAGGATGAACTCACAGAACATGCTGTGGTTTCCCATAGTGAGAAAAAGATTTACCCTGGGAATCCAAGAGAGACATTAAAACTTCTTTTGTGCCTCCTAATTACCCCACTGCCTTAGCCACCACAGTTGTGCTGGAAATCATGTTCACATATTCCTAAGCTAACTTCTTAATCATCATGATAGTAACTTTGGTATTGTTGCGTGGCACTCTACCACCCCTCTATCAGTTCCCTGTGTAATTTTGTGGACCCTTGTCTCATGCCTCCAGAGATTTCTTTTATTTTTAAGATGAGTATTAATGCAAACAGAATTTTGTATACTCGGTGGACACAGAGAAAATTTATTGATGTAGCAGAGTAAGAAGTTAACAGCAAAAGTATAGTCCTTAAGAAAGGGAAAAGGAATGAAATCCATACAAAGCACAGATGGAGTTTTGTCCATAGATAGGAGGAGGGGCCCTTTATCTTTTGTAAACAGAAGGGCAGGTAAAGAGAGGGGACCTGAGGCAGCTGGCTTGGAGGATTTTATGGCTGAAATACAAGAGATGTTTTGATAGCTGCAAAGTTTTTGAAGAATTGTGAGATGAGATCATGAAAAGAGATTATCTAACTGTCTGTCTGTCTATCTATCTGTCTATCTATCTATCTACTTACCTACCTACATACCTCTGTGTGTGTGTGTGTGTATGTGTGTGTGTGGTATGTGTTTTTAATGAGGTGGCGGTGAGGGATTTTGATGAACAAAGAATACAAAACTCAGGCAAATCAAGTGGAAGACTAATTTACTAAAGAAACACAGTAGGATTAACTGGTGATATATTCACCCATTTGAAATTCTGAGGCTAATTTGAACAAGTGTGTGACTGTCTCAGTAATATTTAGCTGCTTAAGCACATGTGTAGAGCAGACATATTTGGTTTTAAATGGGGTTTGATTTTTTTCCAGGCATATGCAGTGACAAAGAAAAAAAAAGAGATAAGGAAGTAAAGCATGCTTGCAAGGTGAATGAATCACAGAAAACAAGGGAGGCAAGGAATTAAATGGGAGGCAGTGTGATGCAGAGGATTATGGCTAGGGCAAAAGCCATAAAGTCACTGGTTTGGGTTTGAGGTATTGCTTCTCTAGGGACACTAGTGGAAGCAGGTTGTAAGATTTGGAGATGGTGTAGATAGAGGGATGCTTGATATTCAGATTTGGGGCTGGTCAAAGGGAATTAGGGTCTCTCTTCCCTTGACTACTGCTAACCAAGCACTGAATGACTAAGTTCAATTATCTGTCTGAATAACCAGTAGCATCAGGTCGGGTGGCAATAACACTTTGAGACCCAATGACAAATTATTCACATCCAGAGAAAATTATTCAGCTTGTGCACCTAGTTTTGAGAATCTTGCATTAGGGCAGAACCGGGACGAATTCTATTGAAAATTAATATTTGTAGTGAAATACATTTACAATAAGAATAAATTATGTATATTATTTTTCTAATATATGCATATTTATTTCCAGTTGTGAGAGGAAGAAAATATGAAAATTATGGCTAAAATTTTCAAGTTTCACTCATTAATTTAGATCTGATTAGTGTCCACTTGGGCACCTGGTGCTCAGATCACCACATCATCTCCAGGGGATACAGCAAAGCAGCTCCTAAAGAATCGAAATGTGAAATCCTTTATGTTGTATAAAAGGCCCACATTACCCAGGGTGTGGATGGAAGGGGTTGCCATGTCTCTGAGACACAATCTCAGGGCAATACAAAGAAAAACCCCTTTTCCTATCTCCCACCTCCAAATACATCCCTACTTACTAACTCAAAAGATTCAATGGAATTATGGGAAGAATTTTATCCTTTCAACAAGGCAAAAGATGGGATAAGCTTGCACAGTGTATTTGCACACGTATAGCACAGTGACAGGAAGAAAAACTGCCGTCAGGGGCTTGAATTCCACAGAAGTGGAGCATCAGATTTCTTTTTAGGGAATTTGTGGAGTGTTAGAGGGATTCCCTCAAAATAAGTAAATAAATAAAATAATAAAAACGAGTCTTTTTACTGTGGCTGATGTCTAAAGTGTCACCATTAGGGATTTCTTTCTTCTGCTGTTACTAAACATAAAATGTCAACTTTGGAAAGTACGACATAGTAGTTTTGTTGCCAGATATTAAACATTATTAGATGGAGGGAGTTTGCTGGATCCTATCCAAAGGAAAAACAACTAAGGATTAGTCATTGCAGAATGACATATGACTTTATCTCATAATGTTGATCAGAAAGTATTAGCAGAGAGCATTAATAAGTGTAGGAATGAGTAGGAAGCAAGAAGAGAAAGTGGTCCAGCATATTTTTTGGAATACGTAAAATATTCTTCTAAATCCAGCATATTATTGATTTGGGAAGATAGGCCTGATCATAAAGGAGATTAAAGCCCTGGGTTTATGAAGAGGCACCTGGTATGAAATAAAAAATACTAAAGCCAGAGCTAAGCAGGTATTGGAGATAGCCATAACCTATTTTATATTTTTGCTCAGATTGTACCTTGATCCTGTCCTCATGTCTCAGGGCTAGGCCATCTGAAGATTATATTAATTTCAGATAAAGCAACTCCCTGAAGCTCATAAGACTGCGATTGATTGAGGAGGAGACAGTTTAAGGCATGAAGAGTGGAAAATACACTCCTAATTTCCTACCATATCCCTATCTGGGTTGCTCACAGATGGTGGACTCAGCTTCTCTAAGATAAACAGGATTTATGCCTGAGGCTCAGTAAGTGTAGCAGAATGTTGCCAACACCCTGCAATTTAAAGACAGATATATGTATAATATAACCCAATTATGTCACTTACTGTCTAACTTTTGTGATATTGTTTGATCTTTTAAATTATAATTTTTCCATATGTAAACTGAGTAAACTTGGGGGAAATAACATATCTTACATTTGGAAAGGTTGAATTAGCTTATACACAAAGAGCTGGAAATAGGATTTCTGATATATTGTAATTGTTGAATGAGAAAGAGGAAGAAGAAGGGTATTTCAGAGGAGTCGACCAACGCATGTCAGGGAAGAGATAATCTGAAGCTGTACTGCAGAAGAGCTGTCCCTAGACCTGGAGACAGAGTTCAAACAGGAGAAAAGTGAGGAGATGGGAGACCTCAAAGGGAAGCTAAGTCTCTTAGGAAGCAAGAAGAGAGGAAAGGAGTGAAGGGAAGAAGGAAGTACCTCTAGGAGTAGGTTAGGCAGGGACAAATCATCAGAGGATTCCGAAAAACATGTTCATTCATGCTCTTGGCTTCTCCTGGTAGAGACAATAACCTGGAGCTTTGAGTCAATAGGTAAGGAGATCGAGGATCAAGTGATATTCGTTTTTTAAAAGTTGTACAATAACTTCCCAACTCTGAGAATAGACATAGTTTTCTGTCTAGGAGGCTGAGAGAGAGGGGGGAAAAAAGGAAATACATTAGCTCACATTCCAAAAAGCTTGTCACTTACAGAGAAAGTGTTCAGAATCTTATTTGTACTCTTATCCCATTATGGTTTTGAAGAAAAGACAGGAGAAATATCTTGGAAATTTTAAGTTCTTGACAGGTTCTATTAACTTCTCTCATGTATCTCATACTATCTGTTTAACTTTGACTTTCTGAGTCAGTGAGTACATGACCATTAGTTCACACCTTTTCCTTTATGACTCTAAATATTTTGCTGATAGCTTTATCTTAACAAAGGATTCTGATGTCTAGCCAATCAAAAGAGCAGTTAGTTTAGGTTGAACTAAGGAACCCAGAGGACAGCTCAACAATCTATATTCCTAGGAGTTACAGCTTGAAGTTCATCTGGACTCGTTTGCTAAGAAGCTTGAACTTTTAAAAAGACATATGGGACTTCCTCATGTGTAGCTTTTGCAACTTGCCAACTGAAGCAATCAGTCTGAACTCCTAAATGAGCTTTTTTGCTAGTCTACTGGGAACTGAAGAGAAGCAGGGTAGGGGAAGTGAATTTGGAACCTGTGAAAAAAACCAGCATTTTCCCTTAGGAACATACAGGCCATATGGACCCTCAGAGAATTCACTTGGGATCTGAAACCAGACTCACAGCTAACCTCCAGATTATCTTCTTATATGTGTGTGAGAAATTCAGCTGGATTTAACACTAATCAGTATTAATATTAACCAAGTGAGGTAATTTTTTAAAGTAGTATCTTATACAAGAAATAGATGGTCATGAAAAAGTGTCCAAGCAGAACAGAAGTTTCAGTAGCTTTCCTGTGATATCTCCCCTTCTTACCTGACCTCATAGATCAGGGAGCCAGTAGGAAAGAAGTTTCCAGTTGTTAAAGACACCTGGTCTAACCATCCCAGTCACTGGGAACATATTCATAGGAATCAGAATGGTGCTGGCCCTATGAAATACAGGAACAGCAGCGACATCTTTTGATGCCAAGGAATTACTGTTATTTCAAGGACTAATATTAAGTAAATGTCAAGAGGTTTTCATAATTTACTTTTCATAAGTGGTTACCTGGGTAAACGGTCCCATGTCACTTTAGTAAGGCTGGAAGGAAGGTTCAAAATATTTACATGTGTGCATCTGTGTTAAATTATTCATTGTGACATAACTTATCAAAGCAAAAACTTGAAAACACCACAGATCCCCATAAGCAGATGACTAGTTAAACACAGTGTTGGACACTCACACGATGGAGTATTTTTAAGCTGTAGAAAGGAAGGGGAAAGAGCTCTGTGTATTGCTATGGAGTGATATCTGGGACACACTGTCAAGCAAGCAAAATGTAAGGTTGTCTAAATACTATGCTAACTTCTGAGTAGCAAGCACACACCCATGTGCATACAATACACACACAAATTTGTTTAATTTTCAAAACAGAAACATTAGAAGTATAAAATTTAAAAATGATTACGTATAAGACAATGGAGGAAACAAACAGGGTAGGGGGAACAAGAATGAAAGTGACACTGCTTTGAGCACACTTTGTTACTAGTATGGACTTCTGAGTTTTACAAAATAAAAAAGATTACATTTAAACATCCTAAAATTAAAAACAAACTAAAACAAATGAGCCTAGTTGTATATCAAAGTAGTGATATAACCACAATAGAAAAGAATTATTTCACCTGATCTTAGATTATAGGATT